GGGAGGTGGTCGTCGAGCCCAGGCAGGCCGATACCAGGCCGCTCGAGGTGTGCGTGCTGCGGCACCAGGGCGTCATGGCGGTTAGGGTGGAGGCCGGGGTTTGGATCACGGCGTCGAAGCCGGTGGGGTCGAGGAGGTGGAGCCGTGAGGTGGTGAGGAGGCAGGAGAGCGAGAGGATCTGGTCGGTTTGCGGGTTGAGGCCTGTCATCTGTTGGGTGGGTTAGTAATGGATGAATGGTTGGTTGGATGGATGGATGGATGGATGTATGTATGCGTGGCGAAGGTTCAGATACGTTGTTTCTAGCGACTAGATATGATTGAGGGAAGGCGGCCATAGCAGGTGCGTGACAAGGGAGGATCAATTCCTCTCGTTCTTCCCCTTCAACTTCAGAGCCGTTGACGGCAAGAAGAGAGAAGATCAATCTTCTCCTCTTCCCTCCGAACTAGAAGAAAGGTTCGAAGCCTGAGAAAAGAGACACAGCGGCAAGATAAATTCTATTTTCCTGGCAATGAAAGCCGTACGAGCGAAAACAACAACAGTAATGAACCATAATCTCGGCCGACACATTCAGAGAGAAAGAGGCAAAGCGGCGGATCCATCAAGCAACAGCGAGATCAAGAAAAAAAAAACCACCGACCTCGCAGTCTATCCACACGAGCGGCTCCTTCGACCGCGTGAGAGCCATCTTCGCTGTAGTTATTAGCGGTATGCTGGAATCGCGAGGTCGGTAAGTAGCTGGAGAAGAAGGAGAGGGAGAGAATAGAATGTAAGACTCTCGAGTCGTGTCTTCGAGGAAGAAAAATATTAAGGGAGACAGTGTGGCTGAAGATTCGTCTATGCATGCGGAGGGATGGCTGCCAACATTCAGATATTGGTTTATGCCAGATGTTACCATCTCGGATTGACCATGTTGCAGTAAGTTACGTTCGCTGGCACCTTTCTACCTAACCTACCTGACGAGACGAGGGACGGAAGCCGCCTGAGCATGATAGGGAATGTGACGGCTTGTGATTCTGATCTGAGGTGAGGTAGCTCGAAAAGAGCTCTGGAGGAAGCGTGGTCACTGGTGTTCAGAGAGGAGTAGCATTACTCAGTACCTAGTACTCCGTACTGGCCAATGGCAATGGCAATGGCAATGGCAATGGCAATGGCTCATCACGCTGAATCCCTTGATGAGTGCAAACGGAGCCGCCTCTCTAGTCAGTCGGATTTGCGACTTTGCTAAACAAATCCTGCTACTCCATCAAGATGTTCAAGAACAGCCACCAACATGGCCTCATGGCCTGATGCCCTGATGCCCTGATGCCCTTGCCTTCAAGCTTTGCGCCAGTATATGCTGGGAGGTCTCAAGGATCCATCGAAACATTCGATAGTAGAAGCTGAATTCACCTCGCCTGCAACCTCGTATTGACTGATATGCTTGCTGATGAAGCAACCATGCCACTGTCATAGTGACTTCAAGATGGATAGTCACAGCTCCTCCTCATCCTCAGGCTCCTTCTTGACAATCGCTCCACCAAAGTGATGCATGCCATTGCCGCCGCTAGGTTCCGACTTCACTTTAGCATCCCCGGCTGACCCTAATATCTCTCCAATATTTCCTGTCATGGCTCTTCCCAGTCGTCGCTGGATATTATCCGCTTCTGGACCAGCTAAACTGGCCCGCTGCCTCTTCATTGGACTACCAACCGACGAGACATCCTCGAGAGGATTATCAGCAGGAGCCTTGGCGAGTGAAGGCGCAGACAGTCCAGGGACCAGTGGCGGAGTTGCCGAAAGATCATTTCCAATATTGGGAGTTGATGCTGCTGACGGCGTGGCAGATTTGGATGGCTTACGTCCTTCTGCTCCGGCTCCGTTGTGAAGTGGTTCGGCTGAATGTTGGCGTTTTAACTGTTGATACGTCAGCTTGTGAACGTGTTCCTACCCATTTGCATTCTGACCTTAATCTTCCTGACACCTTCTGCTAGCTCTCCTGTCCGTTCCGCATCTTCCGGTGAGAGTAGATCATCCTCCTTCTTGATTTCAACGTCATCAACGTCTTCCATTTTACCCACAACCTCGGCCTCTTCGTCTTCACTTTCGCTGTCCATAGCATCCACATCTTCCTTCTTGATGCTTTTCCTCCTCGGTTTGGGTCGCGTCTCGTTGTCACGAAATGTTGAGAATCCAATGGTTCCTTCCTTCTTCAACGGACCCAGTGACGCAAATTCAGCATTCAGACTTTTTCGCTTTGCTACAGTAGTCGTCTTTTCGGATCTGGGAGGCTGCAGAATGCCCATCTTCTGTAGCTGGCGCTCACCTCGGTAGAGAAATGTAAAGACGGCATAGGGTTTGTCAGTAGGGTCAATTCCAGTCACAGTCTGAGTGCTGATTGATTTGGGATCTAAAGTCTTGGGCTTGGCAAAGCTGGTGGTATGGTCGACATCTGCCCCGTTGCCGCCTTCGCCGTTCTCGACATGCCCATTTCTTTGCCCTTCTTCGTCGTCATCGTGAGCGTCGAATTGTGGTGAGTACTCGCCTCGCTTGATCTCTCCCGATGCGAAAACACGGAAGAGTGCTACCTTGATTTGCCCAGCTGTTTCGGGTATTGGGTCGTCATCTGAGTCCCCAGACCCGCTGCTCGATTCGTCATCCTCTGATACATCCTCCACTGGCGACGTTCCACCTGCCCCATACTTGAGAATGCTCTTCTTGGAATCCATCGCAGTGTCTGCCTCATCCTCCTCATCACTATCGCTCTTCTTTTCTCGGCGCTTCCTTCGCCTCCTTTCCATCTTTTGTCTCCTCTTCTCAATCGTAGCTGCGGCGTCTTTGCCATCCAGGTCAAGTCCATTCAGCCAACGCTCGAGACCTACTTCCCGAAACAGAAACTCTCTTTCGGCAAGACCTCCGCCTTCGGAATCCGGCACGCCCACCCACCTTGAGTTGACCCACGTCTCCTCTCCTCGCCGCAATAATGTGGCAACTTCTTCTTTGTTTCGGCCATCGAAATAGATGTAGGCAGCAATGGTCTCGTTGGGGGATGTGGTAAGCGGGATGTAGGGACCGATGGCCGAAGAGTATCTTCCTCGCTCGCTAGAGAGACCAGGTAGCCCTCCGACAATCTTTGGTTGAGGGTAGGGATCTTCAGGCGTAGCTTTGGGTGCGGAATAGGGTACGTCTTGTCCAGGAGTCAACAGGGTAATCGAGATGGCGAAGGTCGACTGCTCTGGTTTATCGGAGCTGTTGTCTGTCGGAATCCGTGCAGGGGGGACGGGGATGTATGAGGAGATTCGTGAGAGACGGGAGGAACGCTGGACTGCATATTCGGAGAGAGGTCCGTTTGGTGTGTGGATGCTCACAGCCAAACCTTTGAAGCAAGGCATTGTGGCCGAGGAAACAGGGAATGGCTTGAGTGAAAGAAAGTAGATGATGTAAATCCCCGTTCAAGGACGCTGAAGATGAGACAATTGGGGCCGGAGTGGAGAGATGTGTCGGTAATCTTCGGGGGAATGTGACTTTGATTCGAACCCACAGTAAATATGTTTCGCTGATCAAAGGTTCTCTTCTGATGGGCTCTTTCGGGTGGGTTGCACAACCAGATGACTGCCTCCGCACCTCAAGGTCAGGTCGGCTGCCTACGTTTTCTCTTCCAAGGGTGTCTGGTCAGGTGCTTCGCATCTTTGGAGGATCTGTAGAAGAGAGTGAGGAAGAGAGCAGTCAACAGCACGATCAAAGGGCACAGACATGCGACCAGTACTCAAAAGCCAGGCTTCGGATTCGTGGATGGCAATGGAGGACCCCAGCGAGGAACTTGCAAGGTCTTGGCAATCAATTCGCTGCCAAGCTCGACATCTACTAAGTAGTAGTAGTACTTAACTACGTTAGTAGCAGCAACTTAGCATGCAATTCGCCCTCCCAGCTACTCTATGCTATGTCCTCTCGGATCGCCTACCGAGTGGTCTACCGAGTGGTCTACGTTGACAGACGAGTTGTGCACATGGTGTATACCTATCATGGCGGTTTGGGGCAAGAGGAGCCGGACAGTGTTGACAGTGGGAGAGCCTGATTGGATGGGGACCCGCAGTCCAATTGGTCGCTTACCACGGCAGAGGACAAGGCTGCTAGCGTTCTCTGACGCAGATCTCTGTAGCTGGCAGCGGCAATATACACAGTACTTCAGTCTTGAATCTCTGCTCTGCATGACGGTACTTGTCTCAGGTGCTCCGGACCAGCTAGTAAGAAGCATGCTATGCCCTAGACATCAATAAACATTATCAGGCAAATGACGGACATCTATTTGGCAGGATGCACCATGGCCATAATCGACCAACAAGATGGCTCTCTAGCCCCCACCCCCCTTTCCAGTATCTAGGAACCAACCCTAGCGGTGACCTAAAACTTCGCTTTGATGGCAGCCAAGCTTCCCTTCCTTGGAGTGCCACCCTGAGCAGCGTAGCTCTGCCGGCGGATCTCCTTCTGCCAATCATCATCGTCTTGCATCTTGCCCTCGAAGTGGTAAAGCTGTGGACATTCTGCACCTTTCCTGCGAAAGATGTAGCGCTTGATCCACCATGGCAAGACTTGGTATACTTGGTAAGACATGTGAGATGTTGTTGGGACGGCAAAGATATAGTCGAGTTCTTCGAGGGTGCGTTGCTTCGTCTCTGGCACCCAGAGGTAGATCATCACTAAGGCGGTGATATTGAGCGCAGCATAGAAGCCGAACGCTCCTTGCGGTCTCAAAGCTGCAAGCATACGCGGGAAAGTGATGCTGAGCACAGCGGCCCAGAACAGGCAAGTGGCTACAGCCCACGCCATACCAACCTCTATGAAAAACATGTCAGCGAAGCCAGCCAGAACAGACACATGACTTACCACGATGCGACAATGGAAAAACCTCGGCCGAGTAGGTGTATGGCTTGATCCAAGTTAGTTGATGTGGTTTCAACAAGGCCAAAATGCGGGAAAGAAAAGTGCGTACAAGGCCATATCGGCGCTACCAATTAAAAACTCGGGTATGAAACGATGGGTACTCACCACTGGACCTTCTCCTGGCGAATAAAAGGCAGCAAACAAGAAGACGAATAGAGCAATCATGCCCAAGTGTGCCCTACTGGAGTCGGGAATCCAAAAACAAAATCCGGCAGCAAGTAGCGTCCATGCCATCTGTGGGAACGTGAAGATCAACAATGTGCGTCTCCCATACGTGTCGATGGTCCAGATCGCGGGCCAGGCAAAGACGAAATTGACCAGGCCAAAGCCCCAGGACGCGAGGAGTGATTCGGTGACAGATGCTCCAGCTCGACTGAATACTGTCGACGAGTAGAAAGCAACGATATTAATGCCGCACTGGAGAATCAATCATCAGCAAGGAAATACAGAAAGATAGCGGAACTTGGTGGTCTATACCATCTGTTGGGCAATCATAACCGTCCAGGACGCCAAGGTCGCACGTCGAACTCGAGGAATGGTAAATAGTTCGAAAAAGCGGGTGAAATAATTGGACGGCTTCACGAATGCAGACTCCATCTCGATCTGGGCGTGGATGTAGTAAAGATCGCGCGCGGCCTGCAACTCGGTGTTTCGAAGTCGTTTGAGCGAAGCATAGGCTTTGGTATACCGCTTCTTCTTGATGTACCAGCGAGGACTTTCTGGGCAGAAATAGACTCCAACCCAAAGAGGCACGGCGGGAATGAAAGCAGAGCCAAGTTGTAGTCTCCACGAAAGAGCACCGGTATCTTTGACGGCGAGGTTGGCGGAGAAGCCTAGGAAGATACCAAAAGCGGTCCACTGCAGGTCGTTAGAACCAGATGAGCATACAATCAGCTTCTGAACATCACGAACCATTTGCCAGCACATGACCAAACCGCCGCGTATGGCTGCTGGAGAATTCTCGGCGCAAAAGATGGGGATCGTTGATGCTTTGGCGCCCATACCGATACCTGTCAGCCTGGGTTAGAGGTGACAAGGGCCGTTTCTAGATATGTTCGATCGTACCGAGAAGCAGCCTAGTAATGAAGAGTTGCCACCAGTTTTGGCACACAGCAGACCCAATGACCGGAAGACAGCAGAAAGCGGCGGAGAAGAAGATCGTACCCCTTCGCCCAAAATAGTGGTTGAGTGGGTCAGATATCCAACAGCCGCTGCAAACATGTCAGTGCCCACCACAACTTGACAATATCAGCTTTACGTACAAAAAAGCAGATGCAATGTAAGGGCCAGCATTGATCACGCCCACCAGCCACTGGTTAGTCTGCGCATCAGGATTTGGCTGTCCAGCTCTTCCGCGGGGGTCGTTGTCAGGGAAGGTCTCTCCCTCCCAGATATCGAAGGCAAGTGGAAATGATAGGTTAGCTCCGTTCGAACCGGTCTGATCCCAGCCCCTAAGTTTGTCAATTGGCGCTGTTATGCGTCGCAAGAGTGACCTACTGAACAGCAGCCCCGATGGAACACAGGATGATGGTGAAAAAGAGCGACTTAGGTTGACGCCACTTATGAAGAACTTCATTGCGAATAGCCTCCTTCTCGAAATCTTCGAGGCCCGGCACAGACTCGAAAGCTGGAGGATCTTTGGCAACAAGAGCACCCTTGACCAAGAGCGGAGTTATCTCGGCCAACTCATGTTCCTTGGCGAAGGCCTCGACATTTCGGGTAACCTCTTCTGGAGTAAGATGGGCAAGAGGGTTTTTGATCCTGAGGAGTGATTAGGAGGGTGACACCTGATCCATGCAGAGAATGGATGCACACATGGCCGAGATGTTTGAATTGAGGTTGGCCTCTTCAGACATGGTTCTGCCACGCTCGGCACGATGGATTTCGTCATCTCCACTCGAGGCAGAGGAGCTGAGGAACGTTGTTTAGCATTATAATATCTGGGTGGCATGAATGAACAGTCAGACTTACAGCTCCTGGTTGTTCCGAGTCCCTTTTTCATGCGTGTCCGCCATGCTGAGGACAAGTGTGCGCAGATTCTCAGTAACAACCAAAGGCGGACCTGCTCGCTAAAGTGCTGCAGAAGGAATGCAAGAGCTGAAGTGGGGATGTGGTGGTTATTTGACCAGACATTTAACGGGATCCGGAGTGGGGAAAAGAAAGACGGGGGTTGAAGTGATCCCGGGCGCGTGTGGGTGGGACACCAATTACCTATCAATCACCGGGCGGGGGGGCATTTTGGGTGGAAAACCTCTCTTCAAGAACTCCGCACGGTCCTCTAGTAAATATCGCTGTCGTATCCTCCATGGATGCCACAGCTTTGTCATACATAACGGCCATGATCGGCATCAAGTTGCATTAGAGCAGCCCCCCTGCTCCCGTGAAACAGCGGTTAGTGCGCATGGGATGCTGTGGGAGAAGTTAGGCTAAGAGTGATAGCCGGGAGGTGATAGGCTTTCTTGTAGCTGTCAAGACCACAATTGGCTAGCTTAGCACATCGGCTGTCCTTTTCATCACTTTAGTGGTACTATGTACGCTGGGGTACTTGGGGGCGGAAGCATAAAAGTCAGCCCACGAATATGCAAGGCTCCGCAAGAGTTCAAGCTCGTGTGGTGTATAAGAGGAACTGACCAGGTCTGCCTTCCCTGGTTAAATGTGGTGCTCGTGTATGTACAACATACCAACTCATGGCATGAGTACGAGCTGCTACTTCTGCCATAGTCTTTCCCATGATTCTTTTCCTGTCTCTTACAGGTTGGAAATTTGGGATGCGGTCAGCTGCCCAGAAGACCTAAAGTCACTTACACATCACAAGCCTTTTAGCAGCTGGTTGGTGGATGCTTCAATCCTTTCAAGCTCTCCTCCCTAGATAAGCTTAGCTGGACCGTGCTCAACCCTGATCAACGCACTAACTACTAGGTAGTACGTACTAGGTACTAGCATCCCTCGTCATCTGTGACAACATCAGATTTTAGCCTTGCTTTCCGATGCAACACATTTACAATCTCCCACCTATCAAGCTCCTACTCTCGGTCGCTCAAGCATCACTCACCTTGCTGCCGAAGCTGGTTTCCCCGGACACCCGGGAACGCGTGGCGCTTTGACCAAGCTCTTTCTTTCTTTCTTTTCAGAGCGATTGGTCTGCTCGCGTTGACCATTTTTGTCTTGCCGCTACAGGATAAGGTGTCCGCTGCAGTCGTCTGGCTCAATGTCTTTCGGGTCTCTTGGTCGCACCATTTCCCCCACATGCTCTTTGCGGAGGCTCTGGCAGGTGCCGGCGGCCCGTCGCGACAGTCCTCCAGTCGCTCTGATGGCCAGCCAACCTTCCGTAACCGGGTCGCAGGATCTGTTCAACTGTCAAATGCTCTTCGCTGATGCTTGCAGTCTTTCTCGTGCGTAGTGTTTGACAGATGTAAGATGTATGTGCTTAGTCGTTAGCACTACAGCGGATATCAGAATTCATTGCGCGTGGAAGATCAGCTGACTCAGGCAGTCGCTTATACGTGCAAATTTATCACCGTCTACTCCTGCGTGACAGAATATAATACCCATTTCTTGAAGGCAAGTCATTGCGTACCCAGGGGAGCAATTGTTTTCGGCACTCGGTGATGCCCTTACTCGTCCTTTAAAGCGCCATCTTCTTTCGGCTGCATCCCATGAGACGCTCACTGCATGCCCTTCCGATTTAGGGACTTACAAGAACGTACTAATAGCGTGCCATCCCCTGGAGGCGACAGTGCCTGATTTGTCTTCAATTGCCTTCAATTGTTTTCACGTCTTGATTAAAATTATCCTCCGTCCTAATATGGATGGAAATCAATTTCATTCCTCTTCTGCTTAGATACTCTTGCTGATGATGATAGAAGAAATCAGATCCGCTCGGAACACGCATTCGTTGGGACATCAAGAGTAGAAGGCGGATTGAGGTCGCAAATACTCTTTTGAATACTTCTCAGACACCTCATATTCAACATTTTGTTCCGCATCTTCTCTCATTGATAACGTGACGAGGTTTCCCTTTACTCGCCTGGTCTGTAAGAGTGACATCTTCTTCATAGGCAGAGTATGGTTAGGGTCGAAGTCGGATTACTTCCGACTCATCACATCTGCTGACGAAGCTCTTTGCTCGTCAGAGAACCTGTCAAGGACTCCTACGTAAACGATTCGCATCTCAACTATTGTCCCCTACCGGCAGTTGGCCCTGGCCCATTTTCAGCACGCTTGCAGCAAGGAAGTCCATGGTTCGCTGCCTTATTGTCTCATCTCTTCAGAGCCATGCTTCTTATCCAAACACATCCCCTATATCTTGTCGGAAATTTTCGTCTACAGGACTAGCCCAGCACTAAAAATCAGGAACCCACATCTGATGGTGCTGAACCAGCCAACACCAATTTCTTCAATTGCGGACAAGATAGCAGTCGATCCTGCCGCTGCAAAGAGTATCGCACCATATATCGCCAGAAACAAAATCTGCTGATCGACCCTTGGATTGCATGACGTCCAGGCAATCAGTGTCCTAAACTTGGGAAGCAGAAGAGCTGTGCCACGCCCTGGCCCAACATGGCCAGAAGCGGCACCAGAACAACACCCACCGCCCTCTCCACAATCCAGCCATACACGAGCATTCGAGCCGGAATGACGACACCATGAGTACAAGACAGCTTTTTAGCCGGTCTTCACGGACAGGACGGCCTTGTTTGGCAGTCCACTTCTTGACAGTAAGGTCTGCCCAGCGACCTCCAATAAAGGTGCCACAGATATAACCAATACCAGGAGCGATATAGAAGGAGGCCGGACCGAATAGGCGAGGTGAGACGAAAGCGCGGACTCATTACTCAAGACATAACGAATCAATGTCAGCAAGTTGTACATGTTCCACACCAGAAATGGAGACGCGAGTGCAGTAGCCATGTGATTAGGGTGCGTGACGACCAGCGTCACAACTCTACTTGGACTGATCAGACAGGCCATGGCTTTGGCCGTTTTTCTGGTTGCTCAGATTGGATGGCTGGTCGATTGCCTTCGCCGGAATATTTTCTGGCAGCAGGAAGAAATCCAAGATAGTGGCTGATCCCCCGAGCGCGCTTTGGAGCCAGAAGATGTTTTTCCAACCCCTGAACATCACGATGATCTCTCTAATGAAGGGTTTAAATGGTGGACCGACTAACGTACCTGAAAAGAACAGCCCTAAAGCTGTCGCACGGTTTGTCGACGTGTATATGTCGTCAAGACATGAAGTTCTTACATTTTGAAACGAAGTACCCTGAACAGCGGACAAAAGGCGGAAGATAAAAATACGACGTCAGGTTCGAGGAGTGCTGTGACTATTGAAAAGGCGAAGAAAGCTGCTGCAGTTATAATGCATATCTAAGATGGTATATAAATAACTACCCTATTCAACATTATTGCTAACCTACCCAACGCCGTTCATAGACTTGGCCTAACGGACTCCACTAACAAGGAACGATACCCATAGCTATGAGGTATAAAAGATTACCCAGATTGATGATGCTCCCATGGTTTTATATTCTGCAGCAACATCGGGCACCGCTGACAGGATGGAGGTCGACGAGATAGGAGCCAGAGACCCGCACAGCGATAGCACAGCAGTAATGGCCATTTTTCGACGTTCTAAGAAGCGCTCATATTGTGCAGAATCGATCTGGGTGGACTGGTTCAATGCTCCATGAGGTTCGTGACATGAGAGGTGGTTTTCAACCTGGTCAAGGCAAAATGCATGGTGCGCCTCTGGAGCCTTCTCGATATCCTCAATGGTTTCTGGTGGTATTTCTGAGAGTATGGTCTCATCTTCCATTCGAGGAGCGCTTGTAACCATGTTCATGTCCAATTCTCATGCGAGAGTGGGAGACTTAACATTGAATATCCAACCTAGAATGGGCGAACGCGAGCGGTAGCTTGAGATAATGAATGAATGGAAACTAAAGAAATATAACTCGACAAGGAAAGGAAAAGATGTACAGGCAATGGACAGGGGAATACGCTTCCGAGTCATCGTCTGGAAATCCGCAGAGACATCCGGCCTAGAGATTTTTTGATTAATGGCGTTGCTTGGCGTTCTCTGAGAATGCCAAGATGCCAAGATGCCGAGATGCCGAGCTTCCTTTTCGAGAACTCCTGGAGTCCAATCACTAACGTGCAGGATGAAATGAACGTGTAATAGTAGTCCACGATCAGCCTCCTGACATCGTATGCTGGCAGCATCTATAGCCTATAGATCCAGGTAGACTTCTTTGAGTACAGAGATGAAGCGCTCGATGGGTATTGAGTTCTGTGTTAATCCTCAAGCTTGCTCCCCTTCTTTGCCATTCCCGTTTCATTTGTGATATTGCTCAATTCCTACTTCTTGATCTGTGCTTTTCGCAAGGTTGAATATCGACGCAGCCAATTGCCAGCTTTTTTCCTACTCAATATTTCAGCAAGCAAGCATCTTGACACGGCAGCACGTTCCTGGCTCCGCTATGAACACGGAAATCCATGCCGTTCACCTCGCCCACCAACCACCATCCTCGATCTGGGACGTGGAGATCAAAGATGGCAAGATCACCTCCGTCCAGCCAAGTGTCAGTGCCTCAGCCGCTTCTCCCAGCGGGAAACATTCCATCCTCCTCCCATCCCTCTGCCACCCACACATCCACCTCGACAAAGCATTCCTCCTGTCATCCGACTACCCGCAATACGCCGACCTCGCTCCCACAGCCGGCACATTCCAAGAAGCGCTCTCCAACACCGCCCAAGCCAAGACACGCTACACGCGCTCTGACCTCGAACAGCGAGGCTGCCAGCTCATCGGTGAGAGCATCAAAGCCGGCGTAACGGCCATGCGCGCCTTCGTCGAAGTCGACCACGTCGTCGAATTCCTCTGCCTCGAAGTAGCATCGCTCCTGAAGAAGCGCTTCAAAAAGGCATGTCATGTCCAGATCGTCGCGTTCGCTCAAGACCCCATCTTCTCCAGCGAGCACGGCGACGAGAATCGAAGATTCCTCGAGCAGGCGCTAGAAAGGAGAGAAGAATTCGGAATCGATGTCCTCGGCACAACGCCCTACGTAGAAAGCAGCAACACCTCGCACAAGAATATCGACTGGGCCGTCCGCAAAGCGCGACAGCACGATCTGCATCTCGATTTCCATCTCGACTATAACCTCGACGTATCCGCTCCCGATGATCGACGCCGTGCTCGAAACACTGCAACGACATGACTGGCCCAAACAGAGCAGTGATAGTGACACCAATACCGAACCAAAGACAAAAACAAAGACAAAGACAATAGCCCTAGCGCACTGCACCCGGCTAACCCTCCTCTCCACCCGCGAATTCCAAGATCTCGCAACCCGAATCCGCGACTCAGACCTCCCAATCTCACTCATCGGCCTGCCGAGCAGCGACGTCTACATGATGGGTCGTCCCACCTCCTCATCACCTAATCCCGCACAGGACAGGAATAGAAACCTCAGCCGACCGCTAGGCACCCTCCCCATCCCGACGCTGATCAAGGAGTTCAATCTCAACGCCGCGCTCAGCGTCAATAATCTCTCCAACCCCTTCACGCCGTACGGCACGGCGGATCCGCTGCAACTGGCGTGTTGGGGCGTGGGGATGTACCATGCGGGGGCGGAGGGGGATGCGGAGGTGCTGTATGAGTGTGTCAGTGCTAGGGGGAGGCGAGAAGGGTTAGGTGTCGAGGTTGGAGATGTGGTTTCTGCGCGGGTCAATGAGGGGAAGGATTGGGAGGGAAGGGGGGCTTGCTGCTTTTTCAGGGTGGTGAGGATACGGTTGTCGATATTTGTGATGAGAAGGCCGTTCCTGGTAGCGGAGATAAAGTTGACTCGACCGTGACTGTGCTGGGGAGGGGCATGAGATCGGTGCGGGATGTGGTCTGGTGTCCGCCTGAGACGGGTAGGAGAAAAGTCATTCGATGACTGGTTTACGGTCACGCAACGGCCTCGCCTTTCGCTTTCCAGGCACGAGGCAGCAAACGACTAATGACGTGTAAATACAAAACCCTCTCAAGCTATCAACCCGCTAATCATCCATTCTGGATCAAGCAATGACGGTGGTGGGAAAGGAAAGATCTGGAAGAACGCAAGGACTCTGCGTAGGTTTATAAGAACTGCACGGATGAGTCCCTGAGGGACTGGCTGGCATCCGAAGGGGATCCTGGTAGGAAGACTCCACGGGCGGTTCAGTCTCGACTGAAAAAGGGGATCCTGATAGGAAGACTCCACATAGGAAGACTCCACATAGGAAGACTCCACATAGGAAGACTCCACATAGGAAGACTCCACATAGGAAGACTCCACATAGGAAGACTCCACATTGGAAGACTCCACATAGGAAGACTCCACATAGGAAGACTCCACATAGGAAGACTCCAAGACTCCACAGGCGGTTCAGTCTCGGTTGAACACGTTTTCATTTCATTTCATTTCATTTCGTAGATTTCGTAACTGATGTTCTTCTCGGCCGTATAGTATACCAAACTGAGCGATGTTCCGAATCTCGGTACCCATGGTACAGACCAGATATTTGCCTTGCCAAAACAGCGCTTACTTGTCACTCTGACACAACGCCAACTAAAGACCAAACTCCAATTGCGACGGAAGACTTCTCGAAGAACGCCAGTAACATCTAAAAACCGCGATATCAGAGAATAAGAGAAATGGCTTACCGTCCGTCCCTGCACGGACCGGCAGGTATTCCGAGCAGGGACCAACGATTACCAACTGGCCCTACGCAACACACCCTGCAGTGTGTGTTGCTTAGCACATAATCATCCGAAGATAGGTCAGCCCTTGCTCCGCCCACAAACACACAATACGTCCAGATATACAGCCTTCGCAAAACTGAGTCATCCGCCCCCTCGTGATGAATGCGTACCAGCCAGATAACATTCCTTGTGGCTCGGCCAAACTATGACTCAGTTTGCGAATGCTACAGAAATGCAACCTACCGGACCAGTCCTCAACGAAATTGTTGCAGTATAGCTTTCTCGCGTTCGAAGGAAGAGATGAGCGGAATTTCTTCTTCTTTCCTGACCAAGTTACTGAGAACACCTCAAAATCTTATGCTTGTCTCCTCCTCTTTCCCTCCCTTTGACAGATCTCGAGGTGCCGCTTGTGGTTATCTTTCCGAGATGTCTCATAGCCACATGCACACACAAATTGCTGCACATCTGGGAACAGGTCTTTGTGGACTGTGCGCCTGTGGCGCTGAAGACTCCGAGTATCAGCCAAAGACTTGTGGCAAATATCGCACATGGATGACTTGTGTGTCGCCAAATGCCGCCTATCACTTAACTTAGCCAATTTTACTTCCTTCTGTTACAGGAGTGGGTTTCTTACCCGAACTGGATCTTATTCGGGAAGAGACCAGAGCAGTGCAGACATTTGTGACGAGACAATCGCGGCAGTGGCAGCGGCATTTGCGACGATGCAGAAACGCTTGACTGGGGCTCTTTTAGCGGCTGGCTTAGAGTGGGCGGTGCGTATGACGCGCTAGACTCGCTAGGCTGTGGAAGAAGACTCGAGCCGAACGAAGACAGTGCTTGTGGAGATAAAAGAGTAGACCAATTGAACCAAGGAGATTTTGGATCTTGAAGGAAGGAGGCGGTGTCGGCGTAAGGTACTGTGTTGTTCACTATGTCAGGAAAGGATGAGGGAGTATAGCTATCAAGACCAAAGTTGAAGTCAGTGTTGGGGTAAGAGTCGGCAGAGGAATCCAAAACTGGTTGCTGGGAAATACAATGCGGATGAAATTCCAAGGGGTCAGCTTTCTTCTTTTCAGGCGTGAGATTCAAGCTGGTAGGTTCGCCCCTTGGTTCGACGGTATCAGGACTGATGCTTGAATACAAGCTAGATCTGTTGCTAGTAAAAATGTCTCCCAAAGTTGGATCAGAAAAAGAATTGTCGTCCAAGTACGGGTCATCCGTAGTATGTCCAGAACTCAAGTAATACTCCTGCGCTGTCGAGTTCGGGGGCCACTTTGACAAGTGGGTAAAGTCGTTGAGGTCACATCCGGTAGAGTCGAGGAAGTCGTTGCGTGTTTGTGGCGGGCAGGCTGCCCAGTGCTTTACGTGATGATCATTGTGGTTCGCAGGTATGGTGCGGCCGCGAAGACAATCAGTCTCCGCGGGACCTGACCAATTGCGATGTTAATGGAAGAAAAGTCGCTGAAAGAGACATGAATGAGTCAGCAATGTCCTAGAGCAAGGGAGACACAAGTAAATGCTGCTCGCAACAATGGCATTGGAGCGACATAATCACATACCTACAGCAAGCACAGCCTGTTGGCTGGCCGCTGTGGTTGAACACAGCTTCTAGATTGTGTGAGCAATCAGTACGAGACGAGAATTGGTTAGAGCAGCCTCGTAGGCTGAATGACGAGTGCAGTCGCACCCTGGGAGGGTGGAGTGAAAGGAAGAATGGCGAGGGGGGACCTCCCCAGATAAATAAGAAAGCAAGCTCATCGGGCGAGGGGATACTGGAGCAAAGTTTCTATTGGTGGCCTCTCTCTCTCGTGTATTTAACCCGCGGCCTGGTGTAGCGACTCTCCCATTTGCCACGCAGCTCTCGCTACAAAGATCTATTTTGATTGTGCAACGTGTCTAGCAATCAACTCTCTCTTTCCCATGATCTTGTGCATGAAGATGTTTGCCTTCTTCGCCCGGCTGACGCAGTCCTCCAGAGCACCACCTTCAATTCGTCATTTGTGCCAAGTGTGCTTGTCAGGTGTCCCTTGAGCTTTTGAGGACGTTCCTCTGAGCCTATCGTTTGGGGCCGAAGCTACGCGCCAAAAATAAAGATAGTTCCGTACACACCACAATTTGCTATTGCTATTCAGAAGGGTATAGGCAACCCATTTCGCTCGTTTACGGCAGCTACTCTTTTAGGCATTGAATTAATTGCCTTATTGATCTCCTCCAGCGTGATTTTATCCCATTCCTCCTCAATAGCCCTGCGTAATTCTGTCGGATCGAGAATTAGCCTCCTATTCTTCAGCCTCTGTTTGATTATCCTCCATATCGACTCAACAGGGTTGAGATCTGGCGATTCTGGAGGATTTGATTCGTATTGGATTCCTAATCGTCGTTTTGCTTGTTTGCACTTGTTATCTGCGTTACCACGCGTGCCATGGCTATTATCATTATCCTCCAAAAGTATCCAATCTGACTCCTAATTAGGAGCAACAACACCCTCCAAAATCTCCACATAATCAGCTTGTGTAAGCCGTCCTGAGCCCCCTACGCCAGTGTAGAAGTGTAGCTCACTCTTGAAATTATAGCCAATGTACGCAAACACGTGCCAAATCTGATTGCGCCGTTTCAATCGAAATTGAATCTTTTGAGGCAGATTTCGAGCCTTTTGGCCACAACGACGATGAATTCGAGCCCGTCGTTGTAGGCCATAGGCAAAGTGACATTCGTCACTAAAACGGTAGTTGTAAAAGTCTTTTTCTATCTAACGTCGGCGCTCAAATCCCCAAATTACACGCTTTTCAATTGAGGATTTTGCAATGTATTTTTTCTGTTGTGCGACAAACGTCCCAACACCATATTCAGCCATATTTCGTTGAATTACACGTTCAGATCCGTGAGCTAGACCAAGAGCGCTTACATTGGCCAAATGAGAGGCAGTTCCAAAGCGAAATGAAGCATTTTCGACTATCTCAATAGCCTCTCGTTCATGAGGCGCCAAAACTGCTTTTCGGCCACGGTTATGGATTCGTTCGCTTCGACGCGCTGTTTTCGACTTAAGGATTCGATAGCCTGCTGCTTGCCCTATGCCATGTAGCTTAAATAGCTCTTTTCGAGTTATTTTGCCTGCAGTAGATTCTGCGTCAGCAAGAAGCCGTACACGACGCGGAGTATCAATGATTGTTCTTGGCCTGCGTGACGGCTTTGGGCTCAAATTAATCGCAGGATCAGGGTTTTGGCAGTTTCTTCGGCTTGTTACGCGTATCCGAGCCATTTTGCAAGTAATTTGAGCTTGAATTGGTAGAGAAATAGAGCGTTGAAGATAGAGGGTATAACCAGGGGTGTACGGAACTATCTTTATTTTTGGCGCGTAGCTTCGGGCCTCGGTTTCCCACCATGACAACCGTCGAAAGTCTGACCCGCGAGGCCCATATCTAAACACCAATCATTAGATAACGTCCCGGACACGATTGAGGTGTAAATCAAGTGATCGCGAGCACTTCAGTCAATGAGGCCGCGCGTGCCCTCCAGTCAGCAATGTTCCTATAGCATTGGACAACAGATCTGAGCCGCCTGAGGCTCCTGATGTCAACCAATCACCTGAATTCTCGGTTCATAGCACGACTGCTTTGTGTTGAGGACAACAATAGCATCTTATCAATACTTAGGCTCAATGCATGAATTTGATCATCAACGTTCCAGAATCTGAGATCATGTCTGTGAGCCTTCTGAGGCCCTTCATGCCAACCAATCACTTAAACTCTCCACTCATATCACGACTACGTGGGCGTTGAGGACAGAAACAGCATCTTACTAATACTTAGGCTCAATGCACGAACTTGATCATACCATCCAATCACCTGAATCCTCCACTCACATCACAGCTCTCTCTATTGAGGACAGAAACAGCATCTTATCAATACCTAGGCTCAATGCACGAACTTGATCTTCGGTATGCACGAATCTGGGGCCATGTCTGTGAGCCTTCTGAGGCATTTGATACCGTCCAATCACATGAACCCTCCACTCACATCACAGTTCTCGCTATTGAGGACAGAAACAGCATCCTGTCGGTACCTCCTAGGGTTGAATGCATGAACACTGATCGCCACCTCCTGAGGCGCCTGATGCCCTCCTATCAATGAACTGTCCCTCTGTCCCAAAAACAAGAATTTCCCATCTGAGGCTCCTCTAGAACACCAATGACGACGAGTCTAGCATAAGCTCGGGTTCCCCTCTATAGCATATTCCACGATAGAGCCGTCATGTCTGAGCATTGGTATATAAACCCGAGGATGGGTCTCCGGAAAGCCTCTCGGGCCTCACTCCAAAACACCCCTTTATTTTCTCTAGAGCCAGACAAGCCATAATATAAGCAATGACGCCGAAAATGGCTGTGAACTTGCCGAATCATCCCTTCCTTACCCAAGATACCTGTTTGCCCAACTCACCACAAAGGGCCAGTGACCTTTCGCAAAAACATGAGACCTCCTCCAACAAACTCTCAGCCTGCAAGCGCAAGAGGATTGACCAAACAGCTTCTCAGATTGGAGAAGGACTTGACCCCTCGCCTTTGTCGTCAATCACAGGTCATCTGAACCACCGGGCTACCATCGCGCATGGCGAGGAATACTACCCATTGCACCGACCCCGGTCCGAGGCCGGAGATGCAGTAGCTAGGCACCTCACAGAGCCGGCTGCAAACTCGCCAATGGCAAGATGGAAACGAGAGAGTGTCGAGAAAGAGCCTTGGAACAGTACCTCCAGGTTGGATGCTAAAGATGGGGAGAGAGCACTTGAGGTACATAAAAGGAATACTGATCTAGTCTCAAAGGATGGTAACCATGTGACACCTAAGACAACACCATTCTCTCACTGGACCTCCTCCAAGGCTACAGAGTATTGTGACGGTGCTTCGGAAGGTGGAGCTTGTGCTGATTTGGCTGGAGTTGGGACATGGCTGAGATAGCGGGTTCTCACGAAAGCGCATGGATTACGCCGCAGGAGCGAGGTGAAATTGCATTCAATTTCTATCGAAAACTTCAGCAAAGAGCATTAGGTATTCAACGAACCATTTCAGCGCGAGCTCGATCATTGTGTATCACTTTTCTGCACTTACTGTTTGGAGCAACCCTGAAGCTATGGAGCCCAGACTCTGCTGCATTGCCCATTAGCACCCGTCAGCTCTACTCCTTTTGATGCTTGTTAAATCCGTATGCTCTGTGGAGAGCTCCAGAACACCAATCCCGCTATGCAAGCACGGTTCCCTTCCCTATCCATAGACCAGAAATATTTCCAGGAAGGTTCATGCCAATTTCAAGATTTCGATGCCGCCCTCATTCCGTATGCCTCGACGACCTCCGCAACCTGGTTGGCAAGTTTCTCCGCATCCCTGGCTGAATGGGCTTCCGCGTAGACACGAACAGCATCCTCCGTCCCTGAAGCGCGTGCAAATGCCCGTCCTCGGTTGGTAAGGTTTACGTAGTGATCAATCCTGGCCTGGGCACCAGCAGGAGACTCCAGTCTTCTCTCGGCATCAACAGCTTTGAACACATTCCGATCTGGGACAACAACTCTGACGAGCTTGTTTGGGAGGTCAATATAGGTATTCATCCAATCTTGCGGAGACCAGGCACGATGTGCAAGGGCAACCTCAGTCAACAGCATATCGGACAACGCATCGCCAACTGCTTGATTGATGAGATCGGTCAGTGCATCGAGTGACTCAAGAGCATGCTTCTGGCCAGGAGACTGCGGATCATGACTCTTGATGATATCGATGGCATTATCGTTGAAAAGTACTGTGCCGTGACCGTTGGCTTCGAAATAGACGCCAATGTCAAATCGTTTGGCGGCATGATGGAGATGTTTAACACCAGTGGGGGTGCAATCAACTGGTAGTTTCATCACCTTCTGAATGTACTCGGTCGAGGCGCCATTCGCATAGGCAGTCTGGACAACACCAATTTTGAGCTTGTCGCCAATGCCGGCTATTCTCGCTTGATCCGCAATGAAGTTAGCTGCCAAGGTTGCGATTCGATCTCCGTCAAGTAGATGAAATTCCTTGTTGTCATCTATGAAGTAGTATACAATGCGATCGGCGTCTCCATCAAGTGAACAGCACCGTTCAAAAGGTACAGCATTCGAGGAGGGAGGAGCTCGCTGCTTCGTTTTGACGTAGTCGGCACCACACTGGAAAATAATCAGCAAACTGTTATTACACGCCACGGACAGCATCACCTCATAGTTCAATGCTTCTGGTTTGATCACATCATCGTTGACAACTTTGATGTCTATGCCATCGTTGCTTGCATTGGGAAGATATTTGAGAAGATCGTGGAGTTTCGGACCACCAACCCCGTTTGCACAGTCGACAGTGAGATGTCCCTTGATCTTGCGACCGTACATAGCTTTTTTAAACGCATTGGCCATTTTCTTGTAATAGCCTGCCTCACTTGCTTCACCAAATGGACGAGGAGAGTTCTTGGTGTTGTGACAGCGGACCATGTGATGAAGCATAGGTGTAGTAAGGATGCCGTAGTCCGTGTATTCGACGTGCAGTGCGTCGAGAGATGCTTTCAAGGCCTTGATCAGGTGAGGGCCGGAAGCCCGAGTGTCACGAGCGAACACCACCCTCGATTTTCGTGTATGGACTTGATGAACTGGATCAACAAGCAAGTCATTGGTCAACTTCTCGTAGACGTCGCCGAATAGAGCATTTTCCGTGTTAGCCAATTTGGTGGCATATTCCTCCCATTCTTGCTGTTCAACCGTCAGATACGGGATGTTAGCGCTCGCGCTTTGGTCATACCTCCAACATATCGCCCTGATCCTAGCTTAGTTATCGATCCTGGCATGAGAGCAGGCACAGACATACCATAGGATCCACCACCTTGACTCCGTTATCTTCTGCCGGATTGTGACTTGCAGTGATCATAACTCCAATGGTGGCTTCATTGCGTCGCTTCGACCTCAATGCCGCAACAATACCGACAGCATATACCACATGATCGAGGCCCAGATCCCTACCACAGACTTGTTAGCGGGAGGTCCCAGTTAAATCTCGAAGTCGCCCGGTGCTGCGGAGGTACTGAAATGAGGGTCGCTCACGCTTTCATGCGAAACTGCAGATTATGTATCAGCTCAAATGCTCGCTTGTGTTGATCTGACTTACTCCAGCTGTACCATACTGAAATCTCTTGCCTTCAGGGAGTGGATATGGAGCGGCATTTTGAACCAAAGCACTCTTGACCTCGTCCTGGATTTTTACTACCGGCTTAGGCTGGTTGAAGATCGAATCCATGGTTTCGGCCTTTGGACGGGATCGGAGAGGTGAGAGACCGAGCCGATCTCTAAATACCTTGGGTGGTCGAGGCGGATCAAAAAAGCGCTCTGATGGTGGATATGCAGGAACTTCTCCTAGTGCAGGTAGGATTTGTGAGATCGAAGATTGCCGTCGGGTTCGTGGACGTGGACGTCGATCTTCTTCGTCAGATGATGAAGTGGAGGAGGATGACGAGGACACTAGAAGGTGAGCTGGTAAGGTTGTGGCCTGAATGCAGAAGGAAGAAAGATAACTACTTGTGGGGAGGGGAAAATTGGAGCTGCAAGCTGTTAGACGATCGGCAAAAGTGGAGGCACGGAGTTAGCCGGTGGTGGGCGGCGCAGGGACGTTGTTGGTACCGGGTTGATTAGCGTGATGCCTAGAGAGAGAATGGTGGGGGTAAGCCAATAGGCGTTGAATAGTGAATTAGGCGGTGAATAGAGTTTCGGGCCCTGAGTTTTGTGCCCTGATCTCAAATGCTTGAAGGTAGGTCGGCATGCAGTGGCAGGAAGTTCTTCAATGTGCAAATGCTGTGCTTGGCAACGCAATCCAGTGCTTGTGATGCGGGACATTGATACTGACATAACACAGTTGCACCATGGCTGAGCTTTGCTGATTCTGTAGCTTGATATTTGGTGGTTTCTATCCAGGAGTCTGGTGCTACACATATATTGTTGGTTGCCTGCTGACATTGGGTCTGCTGAGGCACCCTGTGGGTCCAGGGTGGCCTCCTTAAGCCTTAAGTCGTTCACCTGCCATGTCTTCTTGTGCATCTTTGAGCAGGAAGCTGAAACCAAAAACAGTCAGCGTTCACTTCAGAATAAATTTTCCTTGCTACTTACTTGTACCACCAATAGGTTGGGAGTACTGTTCCCAGATGCCACAAGCTGTGGGCATCAATCATACCCCCAACGGGAGGAAAATCCAGCAATTCGAAGCTCATCGCAAAGACGATCCAAGCCACAATGAGCCCAGGCCATGCAGCCCAGATTTTATGCATCTTCCGGTACCGCGTGATGCTGAACCAGCTCCAAAGGATATTCTGGACAATTCCAGCAACCACGTTGGCTGCCATGTTATAGGTATAGTCCCACCTCCAGAAGGTCAGATAGGAGACATGAGCAGCATACAAGGCCAGGCACGTCCAAGTCCAGATGTTCAACAGTCTCTCCTTCTTTGATTGTTCGAGCCGAAACACTCGAATTGGTGTATAATATAGACCGTAGAAGACGCTGGCACCTGCCGCATAATAGTCCAACTTCTCCGTGAGGTTGAAGTCCCTCGAATGGAAGATCATACTGAAAACCCAGCTTACGAGGCCAAAATACCCGAAGCCAAGGTAGTACGGACGTAATGGGTAGCTAGCAGGAATGAACTCCCTGACTTTGGCCAAGCCATGCTGATGCGCCAGATAATTGAAAATAGAGAACAGTACAGAAAAAGGCTCTTGCATCCCAAGGAACCGGTGGAAAGGCCACTTGCCATGGAATTGGACAACTGCATTGGTTAGAGGAGGATTCTGAGACAGCCTCTGATTTGTGATGATATGTTGACATGTCTGGTCGCATTCACGTGGACAAGTCCAGAGCATAAGTCGAAGGTGGAATGCTAAACGTTACATTCAGAACAGCTGCAGCAAACGGCCAGGGCGGTACTTACGAAGCGAAGTCTTTCCACTGTGACAATTGATACTTTCGCATACCTGACCTCGTCAGTTGAAGATATTGGAGGGCTAATAGGCACGTTCTGCTACCTTTACACATTCTCGGAATTCTGGCAATCGGTCTCCATATGATGCATCACAAGTGCAAGTGAGCAGGAGTATCGTCAGAAGCAACAGCAGCCAATGAAGTTGCCGGAGCAATGGAATATAGATTATCATGGCAAGTAGTACAAGGTATGAAAGCAGTCGCCTGCATGGGGAAATCTCCCCCAAAAAGAAAAAAGAAAAATAAGAAATTTGATGGACCAAAAAGAGGAAGCAGTCGGCACGAAAGTTGACCCGCCAAGCACTTCTTGATTGCACCTCCCAGCTCCTGGCTATAGCACAGCAACGAAATTACAGAATTACCACAAAACTGTTGAAGATATCGTCTTTTTTTCCCAAAAAAAAGAATTCAATCAAAAATAAAACGTGGACACGCCGGTGATCGAAACCGGGACCTTCCGCAGCATTTGCATAGAGATACAATGCAAAGCGGATGTTATACCACTAAACTACACGCCCAAGATGTGAGTGTTTATGGGTACAAAACAATATAAAGCCTTATAAAACACCAGAAAGCTTCTTATCCTTTGCTAGGTTGGTTGTATGTCAGAAAATATTCAAGAAATGATGCCAGCTCCGAATTTGAACGATACAATAGCATAGAAGGCTCGCGGGAGAACAGGTTGGTCACAGAATGGGGCAGAGAATCAATGTGACATCGATCTTCAGACATACCACATATAGTAGCCCGGTTGCCTCTTTCGTTAGTGAACCGAGGTAGCCCCCCCGCACCTCGGATGGCTTCCCTATTCCCTGTACAATACTCCGTACGGAGTAGTCAGGGACCGGGAAAGACGACCTACTACAGAATTCACAAATCATCCGTTTCAAAAACAACTCGCCTACATAATCAGCACTCCCGAGGAGTCCCCGCTCGACATCAAGCATTTCTCCATATCTATCCACAATGAGCGGTCCCGGTGCCGGTTTCGAATACCCCGCAGCGGAAGTCTCATGGCTGAAGCGAGATGTTCTCTTGTTCGCAAACAGCATTGGATGCACTGCCGATGAGCTACATTTCCTTTATGTATGCTACCGCCATTGTATTGTCTTCATCTCTGAGTTCATATTGCGGAAATGGGCATTGAATGAAGTTTGCGGGAAATAGGAACTCCATCCCAATTTCTCCGTCTTTCCCACCTACCCAATTATCCTGCGTAAGTCACGTCGATTGCGCCCCTTATTGCGGCTTTCTGCATAACCTTGCCAACCTGTTCCTCACTCCTCATATCAGCATTCAAAAAGACCTCCCAAGAAGTGATAGACTTCTACTCTGTCCAAGCCAGCATTTCTATCCCCAATGTCCCGGTCAACGGCTCATCCAGTTCCTCAAGCCCCTTCCGCCAACATCCGCTGGTAAACGATTCGAACTCCGTAGCAAAGTGATAGGGGTCTACGACAAGGGCAAAGTGGGAAGCGTGGTGGAGACCGAGCAGTTGCTGGTGGAGAAGAAGGGAGGAAATGAGGAAGACGTCTACGCACGGATGGTGGGCAGTGCAGTCTTCATTGGGCAAGGAAACTGGGGTGGGCCAAAGGGACCGAGTACGGCAGCGTTCCCCCCACCAGAAGGGAAGCCGGAAGGAGCGTTTGAGTTGAAGCTGAGCAATGAAGCGGCATTGCTGTATAGGTCAGTGGTCGTTGGGGTGCTTTTGCGGGTTTGCCCGTGCGGCCTTTGCTGACTAACATGGTTTACTGACAGGCTCAACGGGGACTATAATCCTCTCCATGCAACTCCCGAACCAGGCCAGAAGATGGGATTTGGTGGAGCCATCATGCACGGTCTTTTCAGTTGGAACGCTACCTGCCATGGGCTGCTTAAGGAACTCGGTGGTAGCAATCCCGCCAATATCAAAGAGTTTCAAGCCAGATTCGCAAGTCCAGTCAAGCCGGGAGATAAGCTACTCACAGAAATGTGGAGGACTGGCGAGAAGAAGGACGGCTGGGAAGAGATAAGATTTCTAACCAGAGTCGAAGGTGGCAAGGTGTGTGTGAGTAATGGAAGAGCAATGATGAAATGCGTGGAAGGAGGGACGAAAAGTAAATTGTAACCAATATCGTCAACCGCCAATTGTGTCTGCAGGTCTGGAGTGTGATATGCATGATATGTGCACGATCCGAAAAGTGCTCACTTGAATGAATCCATTGACCAAAATCAGCGTCAACTCGAGGGGTATCTAAGTAAACTCGAGGAGCTTGCAAATCGTATCTAGGAACTCGTTTCAATCGTAATAGCAAGAGGTCGGACCTACCAACGCCGGTCTAATGATTGACGAGATCCAGATACCGTATCATCAGCGACAGAGCATTAACGCCGGTCCATGCAGCACTGCTGTTATCGGAGCAAGTTGGAATTGTCAACTGTGTCAGCACCTGCAACTACTCGTCAGTACTGCTGATGAGCGGGTAGGATTGCAGGCATATCCTACATGCGGTATGCACATCTGCCCTTAGCTTCTCGTGATGTGTCGCTGCAGTCAAGTTCGTATGCGATTTTGATGTCCAAATCACGCTTGTTTCGAGAATTCGGCCTGTTCTCGAGCTCGCCGTAAAGTGTCTCACCGTCCTCGACGGTCAACACCTCCCGAAGATAGAAAACAGTCTGCTTCCAATGGGTATACTTCGTGTGTGGACCTGTAGAGAAACGAATGGGCTTGTGGCAGGCTGTAAATTCAATGTCGAACCAGGCGATAAGAGCATGAATAAAGTCATTTCGTTGAGCTCGGAGGCTGAAAGGAACTCGAAACGCAAGGTCGGCTGGAGTCACAGTGTTGAGATCGAGAGTCAAGACTGGGCAAGGATCTGTTACAAGTGCTTTGATTTCGACTGTGTCCACGAGCGGTTCTGTAAGTGCACTCTCTTTCATCGGTGAAAAGTTGAAGCCGTAGACATTGTCCCAAACTGAAACATAGTTAGTAAATAGCCGACGCTGGTAACATACAAACTCACATCCGATTTTATCATCCTTGTATTCTCCGTCCTCGATAGCGGCCATATATATCGTAGCCCTGTCGGGAAAGATCTTCCCTCCAGCCGTAAGATATTTGTCGCGTGCGTAAAGAACGGTATCCAGCATGCTTTCGTAGAGCAGAAAGTAACCCATCCACTCCGAAACGATGATATCTACCTTACCTCCTGGCATATGTTGTAGAGGCATCTCTACCTCTTCCATCTTGCCTTGGAGCAGGGTGATTACGTTGGACATTCCATTGGCAGCAACGATTTCTTTTGCTTTGTCTATAATGCTTGACATGTCGACACCAATAACATGGCGGGCGCCAGCTCTTGCAGCGAACCTGTCATGGTATCAGACAAGATCGTCAGGACTTCCCACTAGCCCATACATGCTCAGTATTCCGGTCCCACAACCCACGTCAAGGACAACCTTGTCCTTGAAAATGTGTTTGTTCTGATAGATGGCGTCTCGATATGACCTCGTGCGGACTTCATCTTTCTGTACTTGGTTAATCCGAGTGTAGCGTCAAGTCTAGAATCACGTACAAGCATTTCTTCGTGAATTCCTTTTTTTGGTCTCAGTACTGAGCTTCCAAGATTTCAAAACCTACGAACTCACCGTGATGGTCGTAACTAACGCGCTGCATCAGTAAAGGCACCAGAAGCGGAAAATGTGGCACTGCATACCTTGTGAAATAGCGAATTTCTGCGTGGTCCTCTCCTGCCAGTCTCTCCTCTGTCGTTGGGCCAGTTGTGCCAACCAAGGTCGATGCAATGCTTGAGCCATTGGCGTGGGCTGAATAAGAAGGGAGAGTCTCCATGCTAAATAAGGATTTCAGAAGACAAGCCAATAAATGATCGAGATACTCGTGATAGTTTTCTAGAGCTCTTTGTTTGTTTGTGCAGATACATGCGCCGGCAGTCTATGAAGATCCAACGGTCGGGGGCTGCCGGAGCTAAGCTCTTCTGAGACTAGCAGATTATGCAAGTCTGCGTCGATAATCTACTCGAGGAGTAGCATTACATTACATCTCACAGAATTATATCACCATGCGCTCTTATTTCGTGCATTTCAGTTATTGTAAGACGTATGGGCTGTTGCTGGGAAGACGGAGATTCAGCCTCCAGGCTTGGACTCTGACGAACGAGTAGAATGCAGGATTTACCACATGGATTGAGGATACTCCCTTTTACATTCTGTGTCGAGTCCTACAGACGGGCCATCATCGAGGTGTGTGCGAGCACAAATTTAATGAAGCCTACCAAAAGATTCATGCCTGGCATTTACATTGGCGTGTGGTATCTAAATATGAATACATCCAGATCCACCGACAGGTAAATGAGACGTAGTACAATGCAACCAGTGAGCAGAGACACCATTTAAGTAGTACACACCAAGCTGACTGGACTACCCCCACAATACTGTAATTTGCTGGAAGTCTCTTACAGAGTTGTGGTTTAATGAGTGTACAGTAAATTAACGGCCTTGGTACTTGAGTATCTCTATCAGGGTTGTCGGTAATGATATGTAGTCTTGCTCAGATAAATAAGGCAGCCGAATTACCTTTCCGGGACAGTTCATCGAACGAGTGGTTAAGGCGCGTGATTCCAAGTTCTCCGGTACTAAGGGGCAAAAGTATCCTAGCACGGCGCTAGTAGCACTAGTTCGGATACAGCGCTACATCAATGTCTAGAAGCTGCTTTGCCGAATATCCATATCGATTGGTCACAATAGTACCATCTAACTGCTCAAGGCTTAGATATTACTTTTGGAACCTGTTTTGGTGCAAATATACTAGCGCGCTGCTACGGATACTTATGCCAGGTACCGAGTAAACAACTATTAGGAGAACATGATTAATGCTAGATTAGAGCTAGTAATTTTGTATAACTTGACTAACTGATTTCAAGTTCTGCAACCCACCCCCATTGGCAACAGTTTTAGGGCCGGTATCTCCACGCCAGCTTGCCGCCATTTTATCAAATCAATTGCAACCAGCACAGAGGCGAGTCGAATGGACAGAACCAAGCAGGTTTTGTCTACATAAATGTCTACTTGAACTATCAATCAATTCTATCTCCAAGATAGGGCCAGCAACCTTGAAATATGTTATGAGACCCAAAACGCCAAGTAGATATGTTGCACATGTCAGTCGACCACGTTATTATACATCCTTTGTAACGCAATCATTACCTCTGTTTTATTGTAGCCCTTCTGGCACCAAACAGAGAGCCATGGTTCCATACTGAAACCAGTCCTTACTGATTGGCGCTCTGTATGCAACCCACCTAGTTACAAGGTGAGCAGCAGATTTTAGAACCAAGTGGTAACGGCCAAGCATTGAGCGCTGTAACTTATCTAATAATAATGACTTTGAAATAGTCTGTGTCCGAACATGCTGCCTATGCATGGCACAAGATAGTATTGCACCATGAAATCGCTCTGTCATCCAGAATGCTGGGGGTTAATAAGGTGGATAGCAATTGGCGGAGCCCAAGTCTGTAGGTACTTTTCATCTCTTTTTGGATCGTGATTCTGGCTAATGCCTTTCTCATGCTAGTACAGGATTTTTGAGCCCGAATTAGCCTATATAGTATATACAAGAAATAAAAATTGAGCCGGAGCAGATCCTAAGCGCCTTCCTGGCATAACAAGTGGACCAAGCTGCTCCAGCCAACATCGAAAGAACGGGACAAGCGTTACTGCTCCTTCTTCGGGTCCGCATCCTTACTTGATGGCTTTTGAACCGCCTCTTCTCGCTTCCTGGCTTCACTAGCTCGGTGCTTCTCTCTCTTCTCCATCGCATATCTCCAACTCCTCCCAAAACCAGCAGTGACTATTCCCTTGAAAGTCTGCACGATACTAGGCCATCGAATCGTCTTCTCAATCACTTGCCGTACTTCAGTCTGAATGCCTTCGGTATCCTTTGCAATCCGCTGCTCGAACCATCCACCCTGCTGCCGTCTAAAGCCGGTACTGGTCTCATCGTCCTTCGTATCCTCGAGCATCTTGTTAAACTCGCCTCTTGGTATTTGGAACTTGGCTTGATATTCAAAGTATAATTTTTCTCGAAATTTCTTCGGTAGTCTCCGCACCATGTTGCCACGCTTGACAGGGTCCATATCTTGTGCTAACTTCGCGTTGATGTGCGGATCATCGAACCAGTCTTCGTGGGCGCAGACAGAATCATTGAATGATATATTTGGCAGATTCTCGATTAACGGCGCGTATAAGCGCCGGAAGTTTGGTAGCTGTCCCTGCACAATATTGAGGACTTTTTTCGGATCTTCAGCAGGTAATGACATTCGTGGATCGCCCATGTACGATATTCCGGCAATGGTCGAGTACAATTGTTCTTCGGTAAATTCAGGAGGAAGGAGTAGCAGCGCTGTACGCACAGCGGAAATAAGATTCACCTGGTTGGCAAGCCTCACAGATGGGTTATCACGCAAGATTTTGACAGGTTTGTGCAAACGACCGGCCAGGTAGAGAGAGTCCCATTGTGACAGATCCCGGCAGAGTGTGTCAAGGTTCACAACCCCATATTTGATCAATGTGCCGTTTACCGTAACGTAAGGGTTGAAGTATACTCCAGCGCCGAAAGAGTCCTGCAGCTTCGAGACAGCATAAGAGCCAAGAGAACCAACTGCAGAGTAATGGTCTCTATGCTCTTGCAAGTTCAAGGAATGCCAATGTTGGCTGTAGGAGACTCCGAAAATGAAATCAATCATTTTCTGTGGCCCATCCTGGACCTTGGTTATCGCCTCAGGAGGATTGGGGTGTAATGTAGAAGCTGGGAATGAAACCGCAGACGGATCGCCCTTCTGCGTGAAGACACCAGAGCCATACGCAAATGCATAACGGATTGGCGCCTTGAATTTCCAGAGTATTTGACGCAGAGCTTCCTTAAATTCCTCATTGATGATCATATGCTGATTAACACCGAAGTTCTTCTGTGGTAGCTCTGAGAACTTAGAGATGCTGAGGTTAGGATTTTGATCCCAGTCTGCAGCATCAAGACTTCTGGAATCTGATTTGGTCGAGCTGTGCGAGGAAAGGTTTGGAGTCTTCGTAGCAGAGGAGGATAGGGCGGGTGCTGGGCTCGGTCTCGGAGCGCGGTCTACATTCGACCCCGAATGGTTATGTCCTTTGATTGAGATGTAGCCTGGAGGGGGACCATTGTTTTGCGTAGGTTTGTGTTCTGCGACAGAAGCATACTTTCGAGCGACAAGGGGTACAGTACACAGCGGAGGCCGTGACAGGTTTGGAATGAGGACTGGAGCCGCATTATATACATCAACAAGTCTGCGTTTGCCTAGTATGCTCTGCACCCCGTATGTTAGCGAAGCAGAAATCTGTAATCAGACCCTCTGATGCGGTGCTTACAGGGATGACGCGGAAGGTCATAATGTGGCAGTGGTTAGCTGCGGAAGAAAGCAGTGGCTAGCGACATATATGGTATGATAAATCGAATATCATTCAAGGCGCCTTCATAAAGAATCTGACTGGCAATGGGGCAGACAGAACGAAGCCTCAACAATAGTTACTACGTAGGCTCTGTGAGGGCCGGCTGCTGCAAGCTTGCTGATCGGAGACAGCGGCACATACAAGCTCCGACACGCTACTACGTAGTTAGTAAGGATGTAATCTCACGCTAGTACGCATATAGAGCTCTCTTCGCTAATGTAAACATTGACACACCAATGCCCACATCCAAGATCGTTTCCTCCGCTTCTTGCGCTGCTCCGACTTACTCGATCTTGAAATTGAAACTGTGACCTCACGCGTCCAGATAGTAAGCCCCTTGGGGTACCACACCTAAATCATCATGGCGCCATTACCAGGGATGGAAACACTGGCTGCGCGATTGTCATCTTTCCAGACTGTATTGCCAGCACCCAAACGGAGGGGATCAAACATTAGAGGCCAGAAATCAATATCATGGCCTCACCAAAGCCCTTCACCAGAGGAGGTATCCCTCAAACTGAACCAATCCCTCGTATTAACACTAACGACATGTACAGCTTGCCGAAGCTGGTCTATACTACAATCCTTCTGCTTCTAGCCCAGATAACACAACATGCTTTTTGTGCGAAAGCCAACTTGCCGGATGGGAAGAGGACGATGAGCCCGCAGTGGAACATTTGAAATTGGCAAGTCATTGTGGTTGGGCTATCATCAAGAATGCTGGTCGACATGGTAATGAGATATCAACGATGGAAGACCCTACACACGAGAGGTTGTTCGAGGCACGGAAGGCTACCTTTGGCATTTCCTGGCCTCATGAGCATAAGCGTGGTTGGATGTGTAAAACGGAGAGAATGGCAGCAGCAGGGTGGCATTTTGCCCCAACTCTTGAGTGCGAGGACTTTGTGAGCTGTGCTTACTGTAACCTATCTTTGGATGGCTGGGAACCAAAGGACTCTCCATTGTGAGCCGGCCGGGTCATTCCTGCATCGCCGAAGTCAATACTTACATATATGATAGTGACGAGCATTACCGTCGTTCCCCGGGCTGCACCTTCTTCATCTTCGCGGGAACAACTCCACCAAAGACTAAACGGGCTAAAAAAGCAAGGACGTCGAAAGCATCACGGTTGTCCACACAATCCAATACGACAAACGCCTCACAGGCACAAAGCATTCCCGACTTCAACGACTCCATTGACGTCAGCAACATATCGCAAGATTCGGTCCTTTCTGCAGTGTCGATGGCGAGCAAGAAAGGAGCAAAAGGGAAGGGACGGCCCACTCGAGTGAAGAAGGCAGAATCGATCGAGGTAGTGATAGTGAGAAAGGAGACAAATGAAGGTGATGTAAGAAACCCCGATCCCGCGAGCCGGGGCAAGAAGAGGAAAAGTGAAGAAATCGATGAGGACCATCGCAGCGGAAGAGAAAGCACGGTCAAACCAGAGCCTCTTCCGAAAAGGCGAGCGACAAGGGGTCGAAATAGTGAAACACAACAAATTGATTATCCTATCCTTGATGCTTCGGAAAATGCTCAACAAGAACCCGTTCGTGGTGGCAGGAAGAGAGCATCATCCAGATGCAGGAAGGTGTCAACAGCGTCAGCGGCCACAACAGCATCTCTGAGAGCCCCTGTTGCCGATGATGCAGAGATAGAGGCTGCACTAGAAGCTGACCTCGACAAACCCATGCCTGAATTACCTCCTGCATCGTCAGAGGCCTCTATGGAAGGGCCGAAACCAAAAGGTAAAGGGCGGGGAAAGAAGACAAACGCGTCGACTGCCCTTGCCCGTAGCACGAGGCAAGCGACCGCTGAATTAGACATCTCGCAGGGTCAGACTATCAAAGCGGAAGAGCCTGTTCTAGTTTCAGAGGTGGATACAGAGAGCAAAGCTGATCTCAAGGGCAAGGGTGGAAAGGCACGCGTCACAAAGAAGACTATCAACAAAAGGACCACGCCTCCAGGTCGGGACTCGCACGAATCAACAGCAGCCCTTGCGACAAACGCAGAGTCTCAATCGAACAGCTCCCTAATCACCATTCAAACAACGGCGGATGATTCGGGTCATGAGACCGATGCGAGTGTCGCTTCACAAAACTCTGTCGCAAGAAAGGGAAGCAGAAGGAAAGGAGCTGCAAAGACCAAGGGCAAGAAAAAAGGCTTGATGAGCAAAAACATTGAGGATATTGTTCAAACAAAACCAGGATCTGAGTCAGTGGCTGAGCAGACCTCTACAGCAGAGGCTAACCCGAGCTCGATCCTTGCTGAGAGGGATCTGGATGAAGACCCTGATGCTGAAGAAGCGACCAAGCAGGACAAGCCCAAGAGAGCTACAAGAGCTACTAAAGGAAAGAAAGCGAAGGCAAATACCACCGCCAAGGCGAAAACCAAACTTCCACAACTCAGCATGCCAGGCATGTTCTCTCCGTTGATGGGTGAGATGGATCCTAGCTTTGATTCCGTCCTCGCAAATTCTTCGCCTCCAGTGGCTCCCATCACAAGATTTGGTCTCGGGGCCGATGACCGCATACCTTCATCCCTTGCACAAGTGTCTTCGCCGAAGCTACCGGAGCTAGCAGAGGATGATACAGCGACGCCTGCCGACACGAAATCAACAACAGCAGAGAGGCCGACTTCCACGCCGCAAAGGAACAAGAATACAAACGAAGCCACCCCTTCTCCGTCTCCTCAGTCATCCGATGCAGAGAATCAGCCCCCAAGCTCCAGACCGCCATCAGCTAGGCCACCTCTAGCTTCTCTGTCGCCAGTGAAAGGAGCAATCCAGCATATCCCACTTGCTCCAGGGACACCGAGACAAGTACCTCTCTCGCCCTCCAAGATAGGAGGTCTCAAGTCGCGGATGCCTTGGACAGCGGTGGATGTTGAGATGATCTTTGCGCCATCTCCGGACAAAGAAAATCGCAATATATTTGCTGGTATACAGAAAGCGGAATTGACGAGTCCGGAAAAGGGGATGAGCGTAGAAGAATGGGTCAGATCACAGGCGAGTGGGGCGGAGGAGAACCTGAAAGCAGAAGCGGAAAGGATTGTGAGCATCTTTGAGAGGGAAGGTGGCCGGGCTTTGGGAGTACTGGAAGCTATAGATGTTATGGAATAGAGCTGTAATGGCCCAAGTGATTTATTGGGAAGCTTAACCGCGTTGCTCTTATTGTACATCATCAACGCATCCTTGACATGTCCAGAGCTGAGGTGGCCGATTGATGCCAAGCACCTCTGTGATTTGATCGCAAGAACTCGGAAGGTTTGTGTGGGGAGTGACTTACTCTTTCAAGTCAACCGGCAACGCTGTTGATCAATCCGTTGCCCTTTCCAGGGGTTTCTCCCACCGAGGAGGACAGCAAACTCTGAGGCCCAGTGGCGGAGACTCCTTGTCCCATAGCTGTGTCGATCCCTTGCGTTGCAAGTCGTACTTACCACATGAAAGTTGCGCTATGCCTTTTCCGTATCACTTTTTGTGCAAAGATTTTGTTACGTACGCTGTCCCTTAATTAGATAAGTAGGACAACCTGCTTTCTACAGACCTCCTGCTGGTTGTCACATAACATGCTAAGGGCAGACGACGAAACATCAGTGAGGAAATCAAGTGTCATTTTCCTGTCTCTGCAACTCATCCGACCGGTGGGGAAGGGCTAATTCATAGAGCTGCTGTAGCGTTCATCGCAGAGCTCTTGGTCTTCTCTCGATCTGGTCGCCTCCAATCCTTCGGTAATCTTGACCTCCCAATCTTCTTTGGACATCTGCTCTGATTCGCTCCAAAGTACCAATCGATTCCTAGCCTGCTGCACTGTCAAACTTCCATCTTGTTCAACATCAATTCAAGGACTGCACTCTTTACAGAGAGAACGTTTGGGTGGTAGTGGGTTATCTTGCAAGCACCAAACCTTACCACCCCTGGTGTGATCCCACAGTCCGCACCATTCGAATTGCACCAAATGCGTTAACTGCTTGCACCTCGCACAAAAGAGCCAACTCCTACCGGTATCGATAACACGACTCGGTCCTGTGAGCCTACCGCCGTACATGCAGGTTGCACACCTCCGTCTGAAAGCACGTACACCTGTTGAAGTGGATGATGCGTGCCAGTCGTAACTCGAAAAATGGCATCTCGAGAGCGTTTTGAGGCAGCCATAACAAGGTGCAAAAGTGGCTTCGCCCAGCAAGGTGGTTCGCCATGCGATACACTCCTCCTCGTAGGCAACCAAAGCAAGCTTGTACATTTCTTTGTCATGGTCCAGGAACAGTGCTCGGAAGTGTTTGCATGTCGCAGAGATGTGAAGTAAGCTTTTGTAGTCAAGATTCTTGAGGATGTTAAGCTGGAGTTCAGTTGCTAGGTTCATGATCATGAATAGCGGACCACTGGCTTCAACTTTTTTCGGCGGCGGAGCTTTAGTGCTTGCAGTCGACTTCTTTGTGAGCGGCCTCTGAGGCTGAGATGACGGCTTAGCCTGCGAAAGTTTTGTGACATCTTTTCGTGCTTTCCGGCTACAGGTACCTCGCTGACAAGTATTCAAAGTTCGCTTTGGACTGGGTGAGTTTTTTGGGATTGCTGTTCGAGTCTGAGATGAGTTGGCAGCTCCTGATACCTCCGCACGCCTTTTTGACGATCTGCCATTTTCTTGATAACCAGGACCCAGAGGTCGTTTTCGACTGGCCTTACGTTCAGGTTGTTTTCGGACGTTGTCTGCTGGAGACAACTTCGTCAAGGGCGGCATTTGAGATTGAGGTGAATGAAATCCTGGTCTTGCTTCTGCGACTTCTTCGGACAATTTCGCTGGCCTATTCTCCTCCTGTTGACAGATCTTGCTCGAAAATCCCTTCACCTACAGGCTGCTGTAGAATCTAGGATGCCGTTTTCGATGGGAATTTAAAGGGAAGGTCATTTGAGTGTTTACAGCCCACTATTAAAACACACGATGTGACAGTCACCAGATCACATGACACCTAATTCTTCAAACACACATCCACGACTCAAGCGGTTTTTACCAGACGTATATCTGTTGACGGTTCAAGCAATTCGAATTTCAGACACGCCCAGAGCCCCAGTGTGAGTCTGCTAGTCGAGGCTTTTTGATCCCAATATCTCAGGCAATCAAACACAAGGTATTGCCGCAGCAACAACAACAACAGTGGTCTCTTTCAACGTAGCGGACGCGGAGAAACTAGACGCCTCTCTTGACCGTCTGCCTCCGGCCACCTGGAGAGCGCATATCAAAGAAGCAAATAGGTCAACATGATGGCGAAATGGTGAACATGCTGTTCTCGAAGTTCAGCAGCTTTCAATCCCTGCAAGCAATTTTCATGCTCCCGGTGAACTATCATCCACTGGAGAAGCGTCTAGTGTACTCACAAGAGCGCTCACTGTGCTTCCTCTCCTTCTCGCAAACGGAGAGCTCGCTGGCCGCAGTTATAGCCCCCTAACACTTTCTTCCGCCACTCACAATCCTGGGAGCCACAGAGACGACAGCCGAATCTCGATCTATCGCATTACTGTATGCCTCTATGCTTTACTTCTGGCCTTACAGCCTCGATCCCTCTCGAATGTGTAATGGTCCGTGACTCGCTTCAAATGGCGCATTGGATCGTAAAAGCCCGCTCCGGCCGACGGGTTGATTTAAAGGGACCAGTGAGGAGATTGCTGGTACCGCACGATGAAGGTACTTTCTCCGAAGCCTTCCCTGGTTAGGATAGCTGTTGGTAAATCCGGCCTTGCTCACACCCATCTTGAGCGGACAATCCTGCGTAGGAGGCGACCACCAAGATGGCGGCATGAAACTGTTATAGACTTGTCCATCTTGACCACCTAACTTGAGCTCTGCTCTTCACATGTGTCACTAGACAAACACATCCGGACCTACCATGTCGTGTGATCTCCGTCTGAGGATGCCATCATGGCCGGATCGAGACGGGCAGATGCCATGTCCGCCCCTGTCACACATCCGGTCTGCACATCTTCCTCTGGCACGTCCGGGACAGCATACTACGTTTATGCGGATCCAACGGACTGCGTGCCGTGTCCTCGATACGTCATCGGGGGGCAATTTGTGGCTACGCCGGATGCATTGCTTGTGCGATGTCGAAAAGGGCATGGTTGCCAGTCTACGTTCCGGGCTCGTTCGTGGTTTGGCTGGTCAAGCCAGCCCCAGCACTGCTAGTTCCGGCTGTAGGCTGCGGGGAGAAAAGAGACACATCAACCACTCCGCCAGAAGGACGGCGCCAGTGGGTTTCGAACCACACTTAATTGATTTACCCCTCACTGACTCGGGGTACCCGTAGTACATTCTGACTTTGGGGGTTGCAGGGGTTCCTTACGTAGTACTACGGGTACAGGCCTAATTTTTGTACCCCCCCCCTGGTCAAAATATCTTACAAACATGTTTTTTACACACCCCACCCTGCCAGCATCCCTGTCAGTATTGCGTCACTATTTTGCACGAATTTTGCTCATCCTGCAAATGCTACTCTTCTCACTCTGTACGCATTCTACTAATTCTGCATAGATACTAATGAGCTTGATGATAAGATGAGCTATAAGCACTGCTTCATGGTATATTATGTCTTCTAAATATCTTACAAAAGCTGCTTCAGTAGATACAGACAAGATGTCAAGCAGTTAGAGGTGTTAATAAAATGTAAAAACTTGATTTTAGAGACTAATCTTATTTAGGCCATAATGCGGACGACTATACCTAATTGTATCTAGTATGTTTTGTACGGATACTAACCTTTTCAGCAGGGGGGGGTACAAAAATTAGGCTTGTACCCGTAGTACTAGTAGGATTGAGGATCGTCTTTGTGCCACTGGCAGTCCGAGAGAGGAATCAAGCAATTTCTAGCAGCGGCACCAGCGAATGCCGCGCCCGCCGCTATATCAGATCCTGTGGGACTTATGTCCACTCCCTCCAGTTATCTTCTGGCGCATCTTATCCAGTCAACTTGCTACATATGGATGCTGCATATACGATACGGACTGCGCTATCCAAATGGTCTTGTCCTAGCGTCATGACCAGTAACTGCTGAGAAATCCAAGGTAAGGTGTCTACACAAGTAAGTACAAATACTTCTTGCACATTCAGAAGATTTGGACTGTTGCAAGTTGTCAATTAACATCCTCAATATGATTCACAATAGAGCAGCTTGGATTCCTCAGGTGCGCGGACAGCTCGAGGTCCGGGACGGGCCTGAGCCTCAGGTTGGAGAGTTTGATGTTCTCATTGAGAATAAGGCGGTTGCGATTAATCCTGGTATGATAACCTCCTAGGAGTGGTTTTAAGGTGGGAGCTGATTTGATGACTACTAGTGGATTGGAAGATTCGGGACTTCAATGTCTTGGGCAAGAAGTATCCAATAGTAAGTCCTTGGAACAAGGCTTAAACATGATCGAGTGACCGACGCTCTGCACAGATCATTGGTGAAGATGTTTCTGGGAATGTTGTCGAAGTCGGCTCTTCAGTCACCAAAGTCAAGAAGGGCGATCGTGTCCTAGCTTATTGCATCGGACTCGGTACAAACAAGCCTATAAACGCTGGGTTTCAGAACTACTCAGTTGTGCCTGAAATCACACTTTCGCCATTTCCGGAATCCATGTCATACGAACAGGCAGCAGTTGTTCCGCTGGGTGTATCGACTGCTTCGGCAGGCCTGTACCAGAAGGATTGCTTGAATTTGCCCTATCCCAAACCAGGCTCCCGTGAGCCCACTGGCACGTCCATCCTCGTATGGGGTAGCAGTGGCAGCGTGGGTGCGAATGCAGTCCAGCTGGCGGCCGCTTCCGGAGTACATGTGGTCGCAACATGTTCGAAGAAAAACGCCGATTTCGTGAAAGGCCTCGGTGCGAAACACGTAGTTGACTACAACGATGAATCATCGGTTGATCAGATCGTCGAAGCTTTGCAGGGGACCAAGTTTGTTGGCGCTTATGACTCCATCTGTCTTGAAAACACATGGAAAGCTTGTGGAGCCGTGGCAGAGAAAATGGGGGGTGGCCTTATAATTGGTACGCTACAGCCTCCAGAAAACATTGAGCTCGGCGAGGGCGTGAAAGCTAAGGGCGGTACGTTCACTCTATATGATATTAAGCATGACTCGGGTTCAGAGAATGACTAATATCCGCTTAGTCTTCGCTATCACCATTGCCCTGCAGCAACCGGAGGTCGGCAATGCCATCTTTCGAGACTACCTCCCTGCAGCATTGAAGTCTGGAGAGTACAAAGCTAAGCCAGATCCCAAGGTAGTCGGCCATGGGCTAGAAAGTATCGCAGATGGCTTTGCAGCGCAGAAGAAGGGGGTCTCGGCTGCGAAGGTGGTGGTCACATTGTGATATGGTGAGATTCGAACCAGTCCGGTAAGAGATGGAAACCGGCTGAATGCCTTGATTTGGGAAGCTCTGTATCGTTATTGCAGTCGATACGCTTGGGCCAAGCTTGTGCTTGTGCCTGTTCATTCTTGATGTTTTATTGAGGAGACACTTTAGATGGAATTGGAATTACGTTAAGACTTCCGGTAATGATTTGCAATGTGTGTTAGTAAGCGCCATAGAAGGAATCCTAGTCGGACAATGTTACTGAGTTGGCCTCCCATGGATGAGTACTGGGTCATTCTGTACTCTTCAACAATTGTTTATCATTGTTCAGTGACTAGGTGCGTGACAGAGTGCTTACCTGGAGAAGGTAGTTGAAAATAACGCTGTAATGGTCCTTAGCAAATGAACAGATCGTTGGTCATTTAAGGATTGTTAAATGACCATTGGATGACAATAGTTTGACCGTCGTATAACAACAATCTTGGAAAAAGACGTCTGAAATGACAAAATTCAACCAGATTTAAATTGACTTAGCTGCATACTTCTACGCAAGCTACATCATAGTACGGTCATGCTTAAACCAAGCACAAATTAATGGAAATTTAGGCATAACTTTCAAAGGGCCTTCTCCTGCTAAGTGACCTATGACATGAGCTGACTGACTATCCCAGAACGGGCTCGCGTCAGCCGTGACTTGGCATTGAAGGGATTGTGAACTCGGCCCAAATTTTATTGTGAAATCAATCAGCTGAAATGTTAAATAAGGCGACCGAGCGCTGAACACCTTTCCAACTTGATGATATGTAAATCGCACCGCTTTGTGACAATCCTGATCAAAATCTCTCATCAGTTGCCAATAACAAACCTCCGTCTTCGTTGACTCCTTCGCACACCACCCCAGTCATGGGAGATTCTGCCAAAGCCTCATTAGCAGGCAATGGGTCCACCCAAAGGACCAGACCTGAGAAGCCAGATCAAGCAAGATATGAAGCAGACTTAGCAGCCGCTCAAAAGGAACATAATGCTAACATGGAGAAATTTGTGCGTCTCTCTTTGTTGGCTTGCAATTACATAACGGCCTTGCAACAATCCAAACTGAGCAAATACTGACATCACCCAGAACGCTGCTAGATCTCGCTTCGATGGTGCAAGGGCTGGGAAAGGGTCACCTGCCAATGACAAATGGAATGCACTGGTCGCCGAACAGAAAAAGATCTCGGAACAACAGCGAGAAATCAAAAAGTCGCGATCTGCCCAACGAGACAAATACAATGCCGCCGAAGCCCAATTGAAGTCTATGATTGCGGACCAGAAAGATGCCAAAGGTCGGATGGGTTTCAAGAGTGTGGGTGAGATCGACGCAAAGATCAGCGATCTCACCAAGCAAGTGGACAGTGGCACCATGAGATTAGTGGATGAGAAGAAAGCTCTCAATGAGGTCTCTAGCCTTACCAGGCAACGGAAAGGCTTTTCTGGCATTGAAGAAGCCGAGAAAAGGATTACTGCCAAAAAGGCGGAGAACGCTGAGCTAAAGAAAGCCTTTGATGACCCCGAAGCACGAGCGTTGGATGAAAAGTATGAGGCTATCCGGAAGGAGCTTGATGAAATCAGCGCCGCTCGTGATGATGACCGAAAGAATTTTACCTCACTGAAGGAGGAAAGGGACAGGCTACACCAAGAGCAGCAAATGTCATACCAGAAAATCAAGGACATTAAAGATGCATATTTTCAGGGCAGGAAAGCCCACAAGGCCTACGAAGATGAGCTTTACCAGCAACGAAGAGAACGGCAGAAGGCTGAAAGGGATGCCTACGAGAAAGAGAGGAGAAAAAAGGTGGCTGAAGAGAAGCTTGAGCAGGCTAGCCAACCCGCATACCTGGACGAGATTATTACGACCGAAGGCCTTATACGATATTTCGATCCCTCTTCAGCTGTGTCCGATTCGAAAAAGGGGCCTGGCAAGTTTGCGGCTTCTGCCCAACGTTCGGTGGATGACTCTGCCATGAAAGGTATGAAGGTTGTGAAGAAGGATGAAGAAGATTTCTTTGTCGGTGGCGGTGGGAAGAAGAAAGGCAAAGGTAAGAAGGCAGCACCTGAGGCCACAAAGTTCAACATGAGCATTGGTATCATCGAAGAATTGGGCAAGGTGGGAGTAGAGCCACCAAGCAATCAATCAGATGTTCCTGCTGTTGTTGAGAAATTAAAGGAGAAATTGGAAAGTTGGAAGAAGGATCAGGAGACGCAGACTAAGCAGGTAAGCAGGGTCCATTTTCAATGCTAATGATCAGCATACTAATAGCAATCTAGAACATCGAGAAAGCACAGAAGGAGATCGACCGTCTGGAGAGAGAAGCCGACGAAGCAGCAGCTTCAACCTCCTCGGAACCGAAAGCAGGCGGCAGACGTCGCGATGCTAGCAAAAAGGTGTCCGCTGCAAACCATGTTGTTGATGGTGAGGTGTCGGCCGAGGCAGAGCTTGACCAAGAAAAGGATGCAGCGGCCGATGTCACAACAGAGATGCAAAAGGCAGAGATTGAGGACAAAAAGAATGATGCTGCTGTTGAAGCCCAGAGCTGACAAACAGTTCGCTAGAAAATGGGCAGAGAGCAACCTCATCTGGTCCATTGGTGGTGGTGGTGGTGGTTGACCTTTCAATTCTACATATATACTCCATGGGAGGTTCATTGCGATGGTGCGGACGCTGACCACAAAAGTTATTATATTTGCAGCCATCACAAAGCAAAGCGTCGACGCCATATTTTGCATTCTAGATTTCTCTTCCCCAATTTCAGTTACTCAATCAAGGCAGCAATCTCGACATAGAAAGCTCCTATCTGTGGGGAGATACAATAACATATACTTCAACATTCATCGTCTTTTCTTCCCCGCTCTCGATGGATTCAGCTTCAACTACTTTGCATTCTGGCTCCGTCGCCTATCCTCCTCCCAACAAAGAAAGACAGTATCCGTATCCAAGGACAGCTTGTAGTAACCTGATCCAGTCTTCCTGAGTAACAATGAAAACGAAGACTTCTTCCGAAATCCCCGTCAACGCTTGCGCACATAGAAAAATACAAGGAGCACCATAGCCGACTCCGACGGAGATCATGCCACCAGCATTGAGCAAACAAGACTCCACTCCAATCAGCGCGCCCCAACACAGTCAGAGCAGTCCATCAAACCCATCTCCCTGTCCTTACCCTTATCCCAGTCTCAGCCTGTAAATCTACATCACAAAGCGCATCGCCTGTCCCTCCATTTCAGCATGGCGTCTATTCATCAACCTGGAACCCGGTGCCCCTCCTGTTCCACATACCCTACCCAACCCCATTCCACCCTTTCCATAACCTCGAACTCAGAGCGATAAATCGCCCAAACGCATGTTGTAAATTGGGTGGGTCATCAGTAGCGCTGAAAGAAAGCAAACTGACTAGTTAGTATCCATCCCCCGAACTCTCGAGCTCTGTTTTCCCGAATTACATCCTTGTTACTTTCCTCTCCCAATCTCCAAAAAAAGAAAAGAAAAAGGGAAACACGACCTGCGTTCCAGCCGCTTTCTGAAATTCCGATCCCATGGAACCATCTCCCCAAGATGGTCTCCCTAAGATGCCTTCCTTTTTTGG